CCAGAAAAGGAACCCCAAGATTTCCCATCCTGTGTGTTTTCTTGCCAGGCGCCATGGTTGGTACCTGGGGCCGCGGGGGGAGAGAGCAGGGTGCCCTGCCAGGCCCTGTGCCTCCCCCCACCCCGCCCCAGTGAGCCGGACCTCAGCCTTCAGGGGCTCGCGGTGCCCACGTGAGCCCAGCTGAGTGGGCTCCCGCCCTGTCCTTCCTGGCCGCGGCCCAAGAGTGGCGGTGGACACTGGGTGCCTGTGAGCGTGCACAGGCCAGAGGGCAGGGCCCCCCGTGGCGGGCCGTGTGCGTGGGCCCCAGTGCGATTCACCCATGCGGCCGGCCATGCGGTTTCCTTCCTGGCCGTGTGGGTGCTGGGCCTGAGCGCCTTGGCGGACCTCACAGCAAGATGGCCAGGGGGTGGCCATGCCGCCGTGCCGTGCTCTGACCTCAGGGCCTCTCCAGCCCCTGGGCGGGCCGGGTGGGGTGGGAGGCGCCGTCTGCTGCTGTTCCAGGGAAGGGCAGGTTGTCTGAGCCGCCCCTGTCAGTGGGGAGGTCACAGTGTTTCCCTTGGGCCAGCCAAGACATGAGTGTGAGCAGTAGCAATGCACAGCTTGAGTTTTCTTGGTGATATTGACGTGAGCGTCTGACAATGTCGTTAACAAATGGTATATTCTGAGGCGTCACAGCGATGTTACTGATTTGTGCACGACACATTGATGTGGACACAGTGCTGATGTCAGTGGCACTTGTGGTCATCTTACTGCCGTGCGTGGCGGGGGGAGCGTGGCTCTGCCGGGGGTGGCCGGGGTAGCGTGGACCTGCTGCGTGCCGTGGGGGGATCACGGGCCCGCGGGGTGTCCGCCTTGCTGCTGTTTTGGGAAGATACTTGCGTTCGCGGCGCAGTGAGACGCTGCTCTGACTGCCCCGTGGTGTCCTCCCTGGCTCCGGCCGGTTATGCCGGCTCCGTGGCCTGCGCCGGGGGTGTGCCCTCCTCTGCTGTTTTTTGAGGAGTTGGGGACACACTGGGGGCGTCTGAGCCGCTGCCCGCTTTCTCCTTGGGGGTCTGGGGCGTGGCTCAGCCTAGTCGCGAGGGGTCTGTTCCGACTCTTTCTCCTCTTGAAGCTGCTTCGGCAGTGGGCGCATCTATAGGAGCTTCCCAGCCCCCTAGGTTATCTGGCCTGAGGGCGGGCAGCGGGCCCTGGCACCCCCGATGGGCCTCACTGTGACCGCCCGAGTTTGGTGCCGACTGTGTTGTTCTTTCCAGGACCCAGCCTCTGGTTGTGTTGATTTTCTCCCTCATTTCAGCCCCCAGGCCCGCAGCCCCCCCAGTGCAGCCGCCCGCGACCCCCCAGCCCTGCAGCCCCCCAGCCCCGGGGGGGGTTCATATTTGCTTCCTTCCAGTTTGGGTTTAGTTTGTGCTTCTTTCTCTCCTTTCTAAGAGGCAACTGAGATTATTAATTTGTGATTTTTCTACTTTATTCCCGTAACATTTCCCGTTATAAATTTTCTTCTGAGACCCGTATAAGTTTTGGTATTTCCTGTTCTCAGTTTTACTCTTATCAATGAAGAATATAATACTTTTCGTTTAAAACCTGCCCCAGTCGCCAAGAGGGGCGGCTGCCAGGCATCGAGGCCTCGTC